TTCTTATGAATTTACAAATCTCACACCTAAATTTTATATCTACATGTGCACCACAGTCTTCTTATGCATTCACATTTCTCACACCAAAATTTTAATATAGCACAAAGTTCTTTTGTATTTATGTATCTCACAACTAAACTTTGGGAAAAGCATGAAATCCATATGCATTGTATACCTAACAATGGAATATGAAGAAAAAAACTTGAGGTAAACATATGTATTTTTTATTCTAGACACCTATGAAAGAAAACAAAAGGAAAGAAAACTTATGTTAAACCAAAGCTTAGAGGCGTGGAAGAAGATTTCTCGTCATGGACGAGGTAGGAGCGGTGAATCAGAGTTGGATTCGCTGGGAAGCTACAGAGGCGTCGAAACCAAACCGAAGGAGAAAAGGATGCAAAATAAAGCCGTTGTTTTCGGGAGCCTTATTTTAGGGCTCTTGTGTCGGTCATAGCTGATGTTAATTCGACGCTATAGCGTCATTTTAACAACTTCTGCTCAACGCAACTCGCCTGCGGAGTTTCTTTTGAAAGTGAAACCGCAAGACGACATTAGGGACGCTAATCAGTCGTTAATTTTGCGTCAAAAATAATTCTGACTCTACTTCATCGTTTTTCCGTAGTGTTGGTACTACGGTTCGCTGGCTGCCTAATGGCTCAACTAGCTAAGCTTAATTATCTTCAGATAGATGTGGTCAGTTCGACCTATTGAGTTTGGTTGGTGTGGTTGGGTCGGCTGATCCAACCTGGCTGACTATCTTCATCCCCTGATTAGGAGTCTTTAGAGTCTCCACGGGATGATTAAAGATCCTTTGTAGAACTAAATCTTCCTTTGGGTTGGCTCTACTAGAGGGTAGGATTTCACATCGAGCGGACTCTTTTGTAGTGGTTGGCTCATATGATCTTTCTTCTAGTTTTTTATCAGATGGCTTCTGCTTGAATCATTCGATAATCTTCTTGTTCGTCTCGTGGCTCAATCGACTTTGGCCTGTTTGGCTTGGCTCATCCGGTCAAGTGACCCTCCCACAATCTCCTGGTAGTGGGCCCGTCTTCTTTATACTCTTCCCCTCTCGATCTTTAAATCTCTTTAAAATTAGTGCATACACCCTTTTGAGGTAAGGAAAAGTATCACAATTACACAAAATGAATATCTATCTTCTTATTAATTGCATAATGCGTTTTCAATTCCATCACTCCTTTTGGGTCTTAATTTCCAAATTACAACGTCATTTTTTTCTTCGGACGAGCAGAGCCAAGAATGAATCAAAAATAAGATAAAATAGAATAAAAGAGGAATTGACGAAGTCGGAAAAAAATAAAAAATAATTTTCAATAAAATAGAATAATAAGATAAAATAGAATAATTTTTTGCGTATCTGGATGTTAAGCTGTGTCCGGACAACGGTGGCGATTCTACGAGCGATAAAGGGAGGAAAAAAAAAAATGTCGCGATCAAGTGTATCGCGGCAGTTATCCGGGCGCAGCAAAAATCGCTTCCTATGCACCGATTTCATCATAATTTCACTGTTGGGAATATTTAAACGAGCGTAGTATTAAATTAATGACCATATAAAAAATGGGTTATGATTGCAAAGAAAAAATAAATAATATTGAATATTAGGAATTGGGAAAAATATTACATCAGGACTCCTAATGTAGAGCTACGTTCAGAGTCCACTGGTATGCCGACACGAGGCTTCAAGGAAACGCGCACGCTTTCCTGTGATCCGACCTGATAACATAAGAAAATATTTCTCATGTGTTATTCCTCGTTATTCATGTGTTATTGTGGTGATATTGATGCGTTATTGTGCTATTATAACACCGAGAATATTCCTAGAACATAATAACACATAATTTCATCACAATAACACCTCAATAATGTGGAATAACATGGGAGGAATATTTTCATGTGCTAAAATGATTTTTTTTTTTTAATTTTTCTGTCACCTTCACGTGTCCGCATATCAGTGGACTTCGAACATAGCTCTATGTTTGGAGTCCTGATGTAATAATTTTCCTAAGAAATTGTAAGCATTCAAGAAAAGTAACAGTTGGCTGCACTGCAGAGTCACCTAGTCTTATATATAGAAATATTATAAAATAAATATATATGAATAAACATAACATATACTTTCAAATAATATTAGTACTGTGTAATCAAGAAATTATTATTATCATGCAAAAAACAAGATGCATTTTTTTAATAATAAACATTCAAAATTCGATTCAAGATCGCTGGGGTCTGACTTCAAAAAGTCATTGTCAAAATGACCTTCTTAACATGACGTGGCCGATCACTATACAATTAGGTTAATTTAGGTTCAATTAAGCCCAT